AAAAAAAAAAAAAAAAAAAAAAAAAAAAAAAAAGTTGGACAGCTAACTAAAAATACATAAACCAAATTGGTGGTGTTTTGCTCCAACTTCTCCCCTTTTCCATCCACCCTTTCCCCTCAGTTTGCACCCCGAACCATAGGAGGCTGCAGTTGATTATATTCCCACTCAGTAATCTTTGTTTAGTCTAAATGTGTTAACACATACTGCAAAGATGTTTCCATTTTCTTCTCATCTTTTTCTTTCTAAAATTAATAACAAAACTGAAACAACAAGACAAAAAAATAGAAAGAAACATCGAAAGAACTCAGTAATTTTTTTATCTTATTCGAATCATCTATCAGATATAGACGTAACACAAAAAAAAAAACCAGGAGAAAAAAGAAAAGAAAACAAACTTTGTTCTATCAAAGAAATATTTGCACTCAACACCATTGAAATTGTTCGCCCGATACATTTATTTTGATTTTGCTTATTGAGTTCTCAGTTCTTTTTTCTTCCCTTTAGTTACGTCTACAAAATAACTATTTGCCCTATAAAACGCTTTGCCGTAAGCGCATATATGCCCTTAGTAATCGTCTTCTGTACCAAAAAAAAAAAAACCTTTGTTTCTCAAATAGTTTTTGCCTGTAAAAACTTATTAATAAACAATGATTAATCAAATTGAAACTATGAAAATAATTCCACTGTATTTTTGAAACTTATCACCTTTATTGAACAACAAAACGATAGTGTGGCAATAGTTTCATAAGTAATTTTCACAAAAAAAAAAAATAATAATAATAATAGCCTAAATCGTTCTTCTTCTGTTTATTTAGTACATTCTGTTTTTCACTTTTTTTTTCTGCTTCAAAAATTTTATATAACTTTTATATAAATATATTAATATATATATATACATATATATATTTGTTAGTCCAACTAATTGACAATTTCTTCTTATTCATATTTTACAAATATTTTCGAATATTAAATTTTTTTTCTTCTTCTTCTTTTCGGCGATATCTGTTTTCCGACAGATCGTTAGTATTATTTTAGGCAGATATTGCAATTAAAGAAATACTTACTGCTAATACAGTTAATTTTTTTTTATTCTTATTAAATTTTTTGTCTATTGACGACATAACAAATAAACTCATCTTCAGAAGTGGATGTTATTAAAATAAACATAAATATTACTGTTTAAATTATTTTATCTATTTTATTAATAGTCTTATCTGTTCTTTTTTTTTAGAATCTATTTGATTTACTTCTTTTTTATTTGTAGTTTTCAATAGGACTATCATTTCAATGTATAACAGTAACAGTAATTTAAATTCAACAGATATTTCGTGATGTCAATAAGTTACATATTGTTGACATTGTTGTTTAAAAAAAAAAAGTGCTTTCAACAAATCAATCTTTGGATCCTGTTAAAATTATTCACAACAATAATAACCTTCAATAAAC